GAGCGGGCAGAGCGGCTGTTGGGCCTCCAGGTGGGGTCTTTGTCACCGCGGTCCCGTCCCCCTGTGGGCCACCCACTGAATTTCTCGACTTTCAGGATCATAGGCTGCCCCGTCCCTGTGGAAAGAATTGGTCACACTGGAATCCCTTCTCCATTCTCCTTTCCGGATTTTGGGCACGCACTCACATCCTCAGTGTGAGTTTTAAGCCACAGGGTCTGGGACTGAAACCTCTGTCGATTTGGTGTGAGTCCAGTGACATAACCATTACACACCATCTGCTGGTCCCCCTAGGCAGTTTTAATTTTGGCTCATTTATAAGAATTTAGGGCCTGCAGGTGGCGTGGAGGTTAAGGCACTGGATCCTACACAGCCAGCTTCACAGTTCCAGATGGACCCAGCAGCTTGAGAATCACCTGAATGTTGACAGGAGTATAGAAGAAAAGGGATTGGCATGACCGTCCTCCCTTGGGGCTGATTTCTCACTTTCCCTCTCTTTGGCGAGAGCACATGCCCTGTAGTAAACAAACAAAACTTTGAAACAAAGCATAACAAATAATAATAATGATTTAATAATTGTTTTTCCCCCCTCTTGAGCAATTAAATGATAATCTGGTGAGCTGACAAGGCTCAGCAATGTTAGGAAGGAAGCAGAATAGTGAGTGATTATTAATGGAAGTAACCAGAAAAATTAACCACATGTGGGTAATTAGGTTCAGTATTCCTGTGTAAAGCTTTAGAGCATCCCTCTTCTGGGTGTGCAGATTAATCATACTGGAGAGATGGAGAAACTTCGTGAGGAAAGGTCATCCAACTCCTTTCTTCCTAAGCATCTGAGGAGTGTCTGATAGCTCTTCTGGATCAGTATCTCAATTATGACTTCTAGGACTTGACTTTTTTTTTTTTTTCCCCTTTCCCACTCTAGACACGGAATATCTTCCTCTTTTCTAATTTTCTCTGGGAACAATTGGAGATCTACAAACATCTAAAACTCAAGGACCGACCATAGGCATATAAGAACCAAGAGAAAGGCAGGGTAGGGGAAGTGAGAAAGAAATGATATGTAAAGTGTGTCAGAGAGAGATGGTTATCATTTTTAAAGTTGTATCAAAGACATTTTTAAAGCTGTCTCATTTTAAAAGATGTATTAAGGAAATTCTAAGAACATCCTTAATTTTTGTCTAACAGTACTCCTGTCAGGTTTAATTCCAGACTTTAGCAATCTAGCAATGATTCACTTTGTGAGTTTTGGTAAGCTGATTAACCTGTGCTGACTTTGGCTCAGTACACATCAGTGCGAAGGAAGATTTAAGGCATTCAATGGAAAGAATAAAGAAAATATGTACTATTTTATTGGGCGCAAAAATTATCTT